TTAAGGGAGTTTTCTACAATCTGCTTGCAAATTATTTTTGCCCATTTTTCAAACATTCACATTTTCAAACATTCACATTTTCAAACAACAGCCTATTTTTCAAACAAATCTTTTTTAATTTTGTATTGATTATCGAGGACTATTCCTATGGAATAAAATAGTTTTAAAAAATTTTACTGAGGATTTTATTCATCAAAGTAACTATTTTTCTTTTAAACGAAAGCTTAAAGAAATCATTTTTACGATCGAAGATTTAATAATATACTTTTGATATTTTTTAGTGATCTTCCTTTTTACTCTCTATTTAAACATGAATTTATAAAAATTATATATGTATCATTAAAAACTGTAGTATGAAATATTGTATTTTGTATTTGTAACTGAATATTTTAGGTTTCTTTCTTATTTTTTATCTTGTAAATACCCGACGGGCATTTGTTTTTAAAAGTTACGATCTAAATGTATTTTAAATGTCTTTTAAACGTCTTTTAAACATTAATGTTTAAAAGACGTTTAAAAGACGTTTAAAACACATTTAAAACGTAACTTTTAAAAACAAATGCCCGTCGGGTATCTTATAAGTTTTAACACGAACATTTCTTAGCGGTGTTCGACGTATGAACTTCCATGAGTCTCCGCGTTCTTTTATTATTTAATAATGAATCCATACAACATAAATGCATACAAACATTGAATATTCTCTCTTCCTAACTAAAATCTCCGAAAACATTCCCAAAATTTAAAACTGCTTTCTTTAAATATTTTTTGGAAAAGTATTGTTTATAAATCTTATGCCTTTCGACAACTTATTGTCTATAACCGTAACTCTAAGCTTTTATTTATCTAATATTATTTTTCTTTTCTGTTGTGTAACTTGTTATATTATATTTCTTTTCTGTTGTGTACTAATCTTAAAATCTTTTGTTAAATTTATTGTTTTAAATTGTTTGTACGATACAATGATCGCAAAAGTGACCAACGGAGCCGTCCAGGAACGTATACTTGGAAGATATGAGATTGTAGATGATGTCAATTGGGTAAGAATCATAAATGAATGTAAAGACAATTTAGTAGGAAGAATAAAATTTCACGACTCAGAGTAAGGGGGAACCATAACTTACGCTCTAGTCATCCTTAGCAAATGATAAGACAGTAATCTATTAGTATTAAAAGTCTATATAAATCCGCTGGTATATTAATGGCTACCATGACTAAAAATATTGTACAATCCAAAGCATTAAAATAAAATATGTAGATAATGAAATCATAAGTAAAATGATAATAAATGATAGTTTAGGCAATATAAAAAGAAAAAATAGGCTAATAAATGTGGCACAATTTATGATAATAAATTGTACCACATTTAATAACTCTAGATAATAAATTTAAAACTGATAACCACCGATGTAACATTAAAATATATAAATGTCGTATATATAATGTAACAAAACCATAATATAAAGCTCACAAAGCGAATAATGTTTGGAGAGCCTGAGACCTGCACTAACACCACTCGTCAGGGGCATTTCCTTGCAACAGATCTCATTATCTGCATTCGATGTCATGCTAGTCAATATTGCAATATAAAAGGACTACACTACAAAAACCTAGACATTTTAATTTTATGTACACTTGCACACTAAAAGAGATAAAAATGTACGCACGCGCGTATGCGCACGTATTAAAGTAAACAAAAATAGTAATTAATAATAAAGAGTTATTTACTGCTTCTTTTATGGCTGTGTTATTTCTTAAAAATATAATAAGTAAACACCACTCATAAACATTGAAACTAAGTTAAGATGGTTTGTGGTTAGTCCAAAATTAGTTAGTAGAAAATATGGTAGAAAAGGTGGTAACTCCAGCAGTATGAGAAATATAGATCTATCAGACAATAGCTTTCACGCAAAACAGACTCCGAGTAATTAAAAAACGATTAATAAGGGATAAAAAAATATCCGAACATTAAATGAGTATGCAGATGAGACAATAAATACGAATTTTACTTATAGCTTACAACACTGAAAAATGTAATGTTAAAAAACAATGTTGAAAACGAGCGAAAGAACGTTAGTGAAGACTTTTATTTTGCCGATAAAAAAGAAATTTACAGTCGTAACTTATAAAAAAAAATAGTTACATGACCGGGGCTAGAAGAAGACAAATTTAGTCTCATCATTAAGCCCCAAAATCTTATCATTAAGCCCCACTTGTATCGGGATTGTCCATAAATTACGCAACGCAAAATATATTTAAAAAATAAAAGTAGGAGATGTTAAGCTCTTTTACTCGGCAGTTTTCATTAAATTTAATAGGCTATTTGAATTTTTCTTTTAAATTAAGACTCTGCGAGAGAAGTTTTTTAATCTTTTTTGTTTTGTTTATTGTGAAAGAATGCGTTACGTAATTTATGGACGATCTCATAGTGCAAACCACAACAAACTAACTTTTTTGATTTTAAATACTTTTATAGATGGTTAAAGTCTTGCCCTGTTTTTAGATCTAGCCCAGGGAGGGTGTATATGAAGCTTCTTGACTTACCTCACATTATGGAATTGTTTTGCTCTCATTCATCAGTTTTCGCCTATATTTTGATCACCGTTGTGTGTATTTATTGGGAGGCTTTTTAGCTTAGCACTATTATGATTACTGATTAGTTAGACTCTATTTGGTTAATAACATCTACAGCTGCATGCATGTATCTTTTGGTGTTTTGTTTGTGTTGTTAGACCCAAATTGTTAATGCTTCGTTTTTGCTTAGTGTGCATCCATAAAATCGCGGATATGATAAGCGCTTGACAAAAATTTTTAGGACCCCAGATAACCGGCTATCTTCTTTAGTTAGTAATTTGTATGTCGAGTGGTATTTTTGTGTAAAATGTTCACCCTATTATGCTTCTCGCAAATATACAGCCTCATTCACACATTATAACACAAATCTGAAAGAATATACAAGGATAAGGTCTCTTTTAAACGACGAATGAAATTGCATCTCTTTAATTTCTGTCATATCGCGACGTTAGAATTATCTTGTTCTATCTCCACTTTCTGAAAAAATTGAATTAATGATAATGTTGTGTTCCTCAAAATAATGTCTTTCTACTGAATTGAAATCTAAGTTATAACTAAAAAAGTTTCGGAAAAAAACATAAGTTATAAAAAAAATTTATACGCCGTTTTCTAAAGTTTTCGTTTTTTAATCGTTTTATCTCAAAACTAAAAAATGTGGAGATAGAACAAGATAATTCTAACGTCGCAATATATGTAAGTATGTTTGTATATGTGTGTGTTTTTATGGGTATATGTATACATGTGTGTATATGTATATATGAGTTTTTCTTTATTCTTCACGTAGTATTAAACAGATAAAATATTCTATTGTAAATTTTCTAAAGCAATGTGGGCTTTAAATGATATTGTAAAGAGCTCTATGAAAAGTTTGTGGTGACTCCAATCATCCTTATCTTCTTTGAACCCCTGTCTGTTTTATATATGTTCTTTGTGTATATTTTATTATTTTATTAACAACAAAATATATATATATATAAAAGGTCAAAAAAAATTATGTTGATCTATAAATCAGGTAAATAAAAAGCTAAACACGCTCACTTATTGCGCTTATGGGCAGCAAATTAAAGTTAGACGTAAGACCTACAAAATGAATTTCAATTGATAGAATGCACACATTAGTCACCACAGGTCACAAGCGATCACTCTTAGCCAAATGAGCTACGACCCCGTACTGGTGTGGTATGATGTGTTATGAACTATGATTTTAGATCCGAGCACATAGTCAGTCATAATTCAACGTGACTGTGGAGCGTGCATTTGATTTGATGATGAGCAGCAAATAAATCAATCAGCAACCGCGACTCTAACCACAACAGCAGCAGCGGCAAACCAAGTCAAGTGTAAAAAAAGTCCGTAATATTTTGAGTGAAGCTTTAGCAAGTCAAAATAGTGAAGTTATCAAAATAGTGAAGTTATGAGTTATCAGAGCGAATTTAAAATGCAAGGTTTGGCTTTGTCAAACATGCATTTCAATGCGTTGTATAAAAGGCACTGAGGTTTATTTCACCAAAAAGTGCAGCACGAGTGACAACTCAAACTAACCTTCAGAATCTCTTAAACACTCAACATTATCACATAAATAAAAATAAATGCTTTATTAATTGGTTGTTTTTTTTAATTTTATCATTGGTTGCTTTTTTTTTTTTTAATTTAGTACTCTTTTAATTAAGCGGTTGTGGCACAGTAATTAGAGCGCTAGCTTTAGAAGCAAGAGACCCAGGGTTCAAAGCGAACTCTGTTCGCTATTGGAAAGAGGAGTGAACTTTCTCGTTAAATGCACTACCGCGGTGCTCTGTGACAAGAACGTTAGGTCTTTTTGAGGCACCTAAAAAATACACATTAATTTGTATATTTCACTTTCCCCAAATAATAGGTTAGAATGAAAATTGGTTTATTTTTTCAATTAAATAAAGTTTCTTAAAAAAAAAAATTGTTTGATTTTTATATATTTAAATACACCTCAAAATTCGCTTAAAAAATCTTTTTTCCGTAAAAAAAAAGATGAACTCTTAACTATTTCATTTGACCAGTGTGAAATCGGGACATTTTTAGCGGAGTCGGACTCTCTACACAAAATTGCGATTCCGACTCCAATAGTTAAACTTCTCGTTATTGCACATGCACTTAAAAAATATTTAATCTTCAACGAACTTTTCATATATTTGGCAGAAAATATTTTTTTTAGAATTAAGATTTTTTCAAAAATTTTGCTTTGATGTCGTACTCTGAAAATTTACACGATTGGAGTCGGAGTCAGTACTTCTTTTTTACGACTCCACATCCCTGCATTTGAACCGTTTTTATTTTATTGATTTTCAAGACTCGCATTTTTTTCTAAACTTTGTTTGTCACGGTATGAAACTTAGAGAGCAACGGGTGTTGTATGAACCGTAATAAAAACAATTCATTTTTATTGAATATAAAACATCTTTGTTGGTAAGTCTTTTATATTTTAATCTTTCTTTACAATAAAAGTTGTTTTATGCGAAATTTTGCTCCTTTACAATTTTTTCTTTTTAAAAAAAGAGGAATGCAATAAATTTAATAATATAAATGCTGCGAATGTTCCGCGCCCAATCTTCGTCAACTTTGAACAGCCCATTTTCAAAAAACCACGAGAGCAGTTATTCTTATATAATCTATCATTCGTAAAACTTCGAATGTTATTAACATTTAGTGGCTCAGCACCAACATTTTGAGTTGACTGGTAGCATTAACATTTTTAATAAAATATCACATTGTTCTTTATAAGATATATACTTTTCTTGCAGTTCTTTAGATATATTTTTCTAACTGTTCTTCTTTAGTTATAAAATATATATAAAAACTCGTGCCATACCGTACTATATAGTGATTTTTATTCTAAACCCTTAATATTTCGATACTTTTATTATATGAGATGGAAATCCAATCAGGTTGGTTGGTTGCCCATTGTACATTATTAATTTCACCTTCTGCCGTGTAAGCAAGAATAGGGTCTTCAATAGCTCTTGGCATTTGCTGAATGTCCCAAATGAGCGCTTGATGGTCATCAGCTAAATGTATGTAAAAATTTATTCAAGAACTTGTCATATAAAAGTTTCTATTCTAGGTTTTATCCATTTTAAACATATTTACCATTTTATTTTTAAATTAGAAATTATAATTAGAAATAAGGTAAACCGAACCTGATGTACATATATGACATGAAGAATGTGGTGCCCACGCTATTCCATTGACAGGAGCGCGATGATTACTTAACCGAGCCACAGGCGTGCATGGCATTCGCATATCCAATATAACAGTCTAAATAAACGTAACTTAAAACATTGTTTTAATGAATCGTAAAATAGTTTTATCTATGTTATTACTAGAATATTAAAAAAATTTTGAAAAATATTTTACAACAACCTCTAAACTTTCAACAGCAAAAGTGGCCAAGTAATTTGGATCTTGTTTGTTCCAAGCCAGCCGCAAAAGACCAATATGATGTGGTTCTTCATATATTATTGTTGAGTGTTCCAAATGTCTGATACGTATAATGGAATTAACACAAATATTACAAATTCATATTACACAATAATAAGGATTAACATTAGAAAATTGTTTTTCACCTCAAATCAAACATCCTTACTGATCCATCCCCACCAACTGAAGCAAACAAATCTCGACCACCACAAGCACGACTGAACGCAATATCGTATACCTAAAGAATAAAATATCATATATCTAAAGAATGAAATATCATTTATCTAAAGAATGCAAAACCGTATATCTAAAGAATGCACAACCATATATTTAAAGAATGCAAATCCATATATCTAAAGAATGCAAAACTATATATCTAAAGAATGCAATATCATATATCTAAAGAATGGAATATTATATATGTAAAGAATGCAAAGCCATATATCTTAGAATGCAAAACCATATATCTAAAGAATGCAATATCATATATTTAGAGAATGAAAGTTGATACCATTTTATTAATGCTAATTTCTGTTATTGTTAATTAGTTAAAGTTTTATAGTATACCTCCTTATCATGAGCAATAAGTTGTGTTTTCACATTTCCTTGCACTCTGCCTAGCGGCTGACCAGTCTAAAAATAAAAATCAATGTTTTTCATTACTCAAAAGCGACCGGTAAACTGTAAAGAAAAATCATAACAAAGTGGTATAGTAAAAAATTTATAAAAAATGAATTTTTTAAATATTCAAAATCAAAAATTTATTTATCGTCTTGTTGCCTCTCAAATTAAAAAAAAACCTTTTCCTGAGTAAATGGTTTCCCATGAGTTTAAGGTGAGTTTCCACTCATCCGTTTTCTACGGGAAAGGGAACGGAAAAATAATCACGTGAGCATGCGCAGTTTTCTTTCGAACAAATAAAAACTCTTATTACGCATGCTCACATGATTATTTTTTCCCTTCCTATCCCGTTCCCATAGAAAAACGGAGGAGAGGAAACTCGCCTTTAGATTTTTAAATTCCCTAACTCTTTCCCTGATTATTCCAACTTATTCCCAAGATCTTATAGTTACAAAAAATATCAAAAATAAACCATCAAACCATTCAAAAAGCTATCAGTTCAAAAATTGAAATCAAAAAAATTTTTTAGTTAGAACAAAAATTAATGATTATTCTTTTTAGTTAATTTCTTCTTTGCATTTAAACAGTTCTAAAACTGATTCGAACTCCTTATTTTCTTTTTCTGTTTAATCACATTCTTTTTAGAGCAGTTTTTTTTAAGCATTGACAAATCATTATTTGTCAGCATTATTTTTGTCAGCATCTTTCAAAGATTTAATAAAATCTTTGTTTAATATACAGTTCTTACAAGTAAGTTCATTTTTTTTTCTATTATGTTTTTTTTCATATCATTTCTTAATAGAGTATTGAAGCATAGCATTATCACTTTTTGTTGCAGATCTTTAAACAAACAAGAAAATGTAACAACTTTTTTAGTTTATTTTGATTAGATAATGCAACGATAGATAATGTTAGATAATAAACAACAACAACAACAAGATATTTATTTTCCTTTTCAAAATTTACATATAATCATATAATAACAATAATAATAATATTATCTATAATAATACAAACAATATAATTATAATAAAATATAACTAATAAGAATAAATATAAATAGTTATTTGAAAAGGAAAGTGTCACTCAAACAGAAGCCTGATCAAAGGAGTGACACCAAATAATTATAACAATAATAATTAAAAAATAATAATATTATCTATAATGATACAAATAATATGATGACATGAGTGTCATTCATGATCAAATTGAGTGACACCAATTAATTATAACAATTAGTATAATAATAAAATAATAATAAAAATAATAAATATGAACCGAAAACAGCTAAGAAAATAAATAAAATAATAATAACAACAATAAAGCGATAAACAACAGTAAGTTAAATAAGACAAAAAATAAGAAAACACTCAATAACAACAGCAAATAAAAATAATAAGCAAAACAGAACAAATAAAAAACAAACCTTACACAAACGAAAAGGCAAAACACAAAAACAACAAGATGAAACACAAAAACAACAAAACAAAAAGGCAAACACAAACACTTCTACAAAAAAAAAAAAAAAAAAAAAAAAAAATATAAGGACAAACTTATTTTTAGTTATTTTTGCAAAATAATTAAAAAAAGGTGTAGAAAATTTGGTAAAATAGAAAAAACAGGAAACAACAATAAAAATAATAAGCACAAATAATAATAATAAACTTTACGCAAACGAAAAGAGAAACACAAAAACTAAAAAACGAAATGCATACACAAAATGATAATATTTAACAAATATAATATTTAATAAAAATAATTAATGGTAACATAATAATAATTAATAATTAATATAATAATAAAAAATAATAATATAACAAATATCATGTTAAAGAATGATATAAGTATATATTATGAAATAGTAAAATGAATAAATAATAATATAATATAAGTATCTAATACAAATAACAAATAAAATAAAATAAGTGATAATTACAAAAAAGACTAGCTCAAAAATATCTTCTAAAATTTGATCTTTTCTTTCTTCTCTTCCGCTTATTTGTTGGTTTCTTCTGTTTTTCTTTTTCTTATCTCTTATTTTTCTTTTCTTTTAGTTAAATTTAGGTGGTTAAAAATTCGAATTTTTTTTTGTCTATTCTTTTTAAAGTTTATATGATGTAAACTTTCTCCTTCTCCTTTTTATTTAGATTTTTTTGACATTTTTTAAAATTTATATGCACTTAATTATTATTTCTTTTTTCGTTAATTTTTTTTCTTTCTTTTTAAAATTTCTGACTTTATTTACTGATTAGATTTGTTGTTTAGTTATTAAAATTTTTGTTTAAGTTTCTTTTTTTTTTCCTTTATCTTTCCGTTATAAAAACACGACCGCCATCGTTGAAGACTCTCTCTATGGATTGATACCAACAACTAATACTTCAATACATTTGCTATTTGCATTTGATAAATAATGCAACAAGTTTGATTGGTTCAATACATTTGCTATGATTGCAAATGATGCGTTTATACAAACTTTCCATGGTTTTTGTGAGAAATAAAGATTATCCTTATGTGAGAAATTAAGTATCCTTATGTGAGTAACTAAAGTATCCTTATGTGAGAAATTAAGCTTATTAAATTATCCTTATGAGAGAAATTAGGTTTAAAGTTTTTTTTAAGTGATTTTATCTTTAACAAAGAGTTCTTTTATTGAAACAGCTACAAAACCAAAAAATAACACCTTTCCTTGGTAATAAGTTCTCTTTTTTATACATTTGAATTACTAATATGCTATCATAGGTTATTGTTAAAAATGTGATAAAAATTTATTTAATGTAAATAGAAAATAATTTTTTTTTGAGTACTCTATGAATATTAAAAAAAAAAAAAAAAACCCTTAAGTTTTCGAGGTTTTTCCGGGGATTCATGTTCTTTCCAAGTTTAGCAGGTTGAGTGGCAACCTTGTGTTTAATATCAAGTTGTTGAATGATAATTATTTTCATTAAATTAAAAGAACATTAATTTATAACTGATTAAATGAGTCAAACCATGAAATGAGTTAAATGAGTTATGGCTATAAACTAATCTGGAACATGGTTTTATTTTATGTATGTATATAGGATGGATCGATTTTAAAAATTTTTGAAATTTGATTTGCCTGAGCTGCGAATCGATGTCTTTTGGTGAAAAAAGAACCTTACTTTTTTTTTTAATTTAAATGAATCTTAGAGGTTCCTCTTTGGATTCTAAATTAATGACGGATCCTAATATTGTTGAAATTTTTTTTCTTCTTAACTATATCAACCTGGTACTCAAAAGAAGCAGAATAATACGCTTATTTTGAATATAGTATTTGTTTTAATTCAAAACTAAAGAGAAAAAAATAACGTCGTTTTTTTCATTAAAAAAGCCCCCGTCTTCATCAAAACGGGGGTTTTAAGGTATATTTATGCAAATATTTTTTTTATTAAAAATTTTTTTTAAATAAAATTATTATTGATTTAACAAGCATTTTTTTCTGTTTCTTTTGAGTCCAAGGTTGATATAGTTTAGAAAAAAAAAAAATTCAAAAATATTAGGATCTGTCAAGGATTTAGAATCCAAAGAGGAACCTCAAGATCTCATCAAAATCAAAAAATATTTTTTTTACTTTCATCTTATAATTATTAGACATCGATTTGTGTCTCAGGAATATTGATTTTTAAATTATTTTTTTTTGCTATGAAAATCGATCCACCCTAATATTATTATTATCATTAAATATAAGAAAAGTAGAAAACAAGAAACCTTTTTCTATTTAATTTATCAATAATATACCTTATCATTTATAAGTAACAAAAAAAATTAAGCATTTTATATGAAAATAATTCATACAGTTTGTTTTTACTATTGAAAATAGAAAATAACTATACAAGTCATCATTGGTAGACATAAGATGGAGGCTTGTATTTTTTTATCAACAATCATGTATTTAAACAGAATAGACCTCCGCGATCATGACCTACATTGTATCCCTAAAATAAAGAACCTCATTTTTCGAACTTTTTTTTCATTTTAACATATCTTTATCTACTTCAATAATGTCTAGTTTACAGCTAAATGGGCTGCCTTGTAATTTTAATCAAACTAAAATAAAACATCTTGCACACCTGATGTAAAGTTTGCTGCTCTTCCATTGTTATCCATTTGTTTTTGTAGCCGGTTTCAACTATATCCCATAGTTTCAACTTTTTGGACAAATAACTAAACAATAATTTTCCAAAATATTTTTAAACTGCGCGAACCTTCATTTTTTATATGGTTTAAATAATTAAGTATACATCTGTTGAAATTAAATGGGTTTTTTCAAAGCTTTCCAACTGCAAAAACTTAATTAGAAAGTTAATACTAACCATACTCCATCATCAACCAAACACATAATACTTTTCTCTTTTTTGAAGTTCTGAGGCTAACTTTTTCCAAAATACTCTAGCAAGAATGATACAATCATTCAACCGCTTTGAGGTATACTTATTAACTCCTTCTATAATTTTTTTTAACTAATTATTCACTAGAGTTTTAGAGTATAGCAGAAAAAATTTTAAAATTTGATCACCCAGTTTGTTTTTTATAAAGCCTTTTAGGTAGCGTTGTTCCTTTAGCCTGTTTATCTTTAGAATTGTTAAACTTTAGAATTTAACTGAACTTCTACTGACTGGCACTTTAAAAGAAGATTTATTCTTGACTTCATTAAAGAAAAGTAAAAAAAAAAAAAAATGAAATCTTGAATAGCCTTCTTGATAGCTTGAACAACGATAAAAAAAAAAATAAAAAAAAGGAAATTAAGATACTTTGAAGCAATCTGTCTTTTTGATTACTTAAAACATTTTGTTTAGAAAGATAATTCAAATAAAACTTTTTTTTTAAAGCAATCTGCCGTTTTACTTACTTAAAACGTTTTTTTAGAAAAAGACTTCAGATTAAACTTTTTTTTTCTAAAACGCAATGATTAAAAATCAAATTTATCCAATCAAAATTTGAATAGCATAAATTTGAAAGAAAAGTTGCGTAACTTTATACGCAAAGAAACTTTTGCAAAGACTTTTATTTTTTATATCTTTAAATTTTAAAAATAGAAGTAGAAGGTCAACCATAAAAAATTAGCAACTAATATGCAACTTAAGATGACAAAAACATAAAACCCTTTCAAACCAATTAGTTTATTAAATAAGTTTTGCTAATGTTACACAACTGCCAAACATCTTTATTATTAAAATTGTCATTTTTTGCCACGTTTTTGTCATTAATTGTCATGATATGAAATTTAATTACAATACTTGCATAATTGTTTCAAAAAAAAGAAAGAGAAAAAAAAAGCTCTCTTTCAAACAAAAATGTGCATTTTAATTCTTGATTTTAACACAATATTTATGATTTTCTATGTGGTGAAATGCGACCAGTGACTAAAATATGATAACTTAAAAAAAGAATAATAATTATTAAATTATGTTTTGTTGATTATTGCATAATATATAAATTTTATCTTTGAAATTTCAAAATTATTTAGTTGAAACTTGTAAAGTTATGTAAAACCACATATCGCATTCATGCTTTAAGAGACCATTTTTTGAATAAAGATGGTTCAATCTCTTCTTTTACTTTTTTCCTTTTTCTTATAATTACTTTCATTACTATTATGATTGTTAACATATTGTTAATGTTATTAGTATTTTTTTTATTATACATTTATTTTTAATGTAAATGTTTTATTGTTGTTGTTTTTGTTAGTTTTAAATCATTTAAATTACCTCTAATCCCCATATTGTGCATGTAGTATCAATGCTTGACGTGCCTAAAATGTTTGGATCTACTTCATTCCAATCAAAAGACGTTAATGGTGCGCAGTAGTCTGAGTTTTTGTTCTGAAATAAGAATTATTAACTAATTAAATTATCAACTAATGTAATAAATTATAATGATTTATTAACTAATGAAATAAATTATAATGATTTATTTTATAATCATTTAATTAATGTATTCATACATTGTTAAGTAACGCTTCTAATCGCACTTCTCCATTGGCAACTCTCCAGATTCGTAAATAATCTCCAGAAGTGGCAACAAGGTCTGGGTAATGACCTTTCTAATTTTTAAAAAAAGTCATACAACTATTTCATTAAAAACCATACAACTAATTGACAGTTATACATTGCAACTACTGAAACCTATTTTCAACCCGCTACTATGAGACATAACTTTATTATTTCATTCAAAATAACAACAAAAAGATTGCTTAAAAAAAAAACAAAAAAAAACAAAGAAAAAAAAAAGAAGATAATTATAACAGAGAAACTTACATCATCTGGAATCCAGATTATTTTTGTAGTTGGATAAGGATGATCAAATGTTGATTGAACAGTAAACTCACCATGAGTTTCATCAAGTTGAATGATCTGAACCTGGAAAAATTGATTAATTTTATGAACTAATCAAAATATACACATTTCTTAGCTTATTAGGTAAATACATAATTTAACATGGCTTTTCTATGTTAGTGTTAATTGTTTTCAAAAATGGAGCAAAAATATAACATTAGTTAAATCATGAAGTATAAAAGATTTTATTTTATCTTTAGGTAAATTTTAATGAATGTATTTTGCTCAAACATATATGTACTTGAGAGCCAACTTGTCTTAACTCCACATATATATATATATATATATATATATATATATATATATATATATATATATATATATATATATATATATATATATATATATATATATATATATATGTATATATATATATATATATATATATATGTATATATATATATATATATATATATATATATATATATATATATATATATATATATGTATATATATATATATATATATATATATATATATATATATATATATATATATATACAGGGCTCGAATTAAGCGTATCGCTATAATTCGCGATTTTTGCACCTTCGCGATTAGTTTTTTCTTAAAATTTGTTTTTTCGCAACCTTTCTTTTTTTCGCAATTATTCTTTTATCATTTTAGAAAAATCTAATTTTAGATAATTAATATTAATCACGAATATTTAGCGTTCTTTTACAGTATATAACTGCAGTGACTTCTGTAACAATAATTTTTTTTTAAAAGCTGAGCATAGAGTAAAAGAAAGAAAAATAAAATATTTAGAAAATCAATTAGCAAAAATGTATTAATAAAAATGTAAAAAAATACCTTTTCGAATCAAGTAATAAAAGATTTTGATTAAAAAAAAATATAAAAGTTAATTGATAGAAAAGTCATTTTCTTAACTCGAATTCTCAAGGGCTTTATTCTGATTTTGCTCATTCATTATGAACAAATTTAATGATATTTTTATAAGTTTAATTTGCAAAGAATTGTGGAAGGCAATACAGACTCTAAACTAGTTATTAAAAAAAAAACTCTCTAAAGTTTGTTAGTATACTTGCTAACTTTAAATTAATAACAATAAATGGATGCAAATAAGGACCACAGACGCAGATTATCTACAGTTAAAAAGTGGGAAAAACTTTTGAATTGCAAGTTAGAATACGATTTAAATGGAGATGAAATTAAAAGATTAAGATGCAGTTTATGTAAAAAATTTGAAAAACAGATAAGTCAAACAAAATTGTTTTCTATGACCTGGATCAAACCAGGAACAATATCAATAAAAAAAGATTCACTGGCAGCGCACTTAAGTAGTGCGCAACATAAAGAGGCCACGCGAATTCATCAACAAACAACATTAGGTTCAGTTTCATTATTTAACCATGTTACTCATAATACTCCTATCGGGCATGGTTTATGTAAAATGGCCTTAAAAGACACCGACTCGTTACGGAAAAAGTTTAATATTACATATTACTTGGCAAAACGAGAGCATCCATTCACAGATTATCTTTATTTGATTGCATTAGAAAAGACTAATGGGGTTACAAATTTAGGAAATTCTTATGGCACTGACCGTGCAGCTGCAATATTTACAGATTACATTGGCACCATAATTAAAAACAAATTAACTGAATGTTTAAAAAATTGTAGATTTTACTGTGTTCTCTGTGATGGAAGCACAGATTTAGTCGTATCGGAACAGAAAATGATTTACATTCTTTATTTAAAAGACGGAAGTCCGAAAGTAGAATTCTTATCTATTGAAACGGCAGAGAATTCTAATGCTGTTGGCCTGAAAAAATGTATAACAGGCGCTTTTACAAGAGTTGGCATTACCAATTTTTATAAACATCTATTGGGTGTAAATCTTGATGGAGCTAATGTTAATCTAGGAGTTTATGCTGGTTTAGTTGCATTAATAAAGAAAGGTTCTCCTTGGCTGGAAGTTGTACACTGTTTTAACCATCGACTTGAACTTGCTTTAAAAGATGCATTTGAAAGTTTATCTGCTTTCAAAACTGTTGACGAACTCCTTTTACAACTTTATTACTTGTATCAAAAGTCACCAAAGCGCTTCCGAGAACTACAAGAATTAGCCGAAGCTTGGGGTAATAGCGTTCCGAAACCAACAAATGCATGCGGAACTCGGTGGATTGATCACAAGTATAAAGCAATGAAAATTGCTTTAGAAAATTATGGTGTGTTTATGACACATATTGAATCATTGGCTATAACAGACTCCCAGATAGCAAAGAGAGCAGAGTTAAAAGGTTTTTTAAAGCGATGGAAAAATGTGTCTGTGCCTATTAATTTATCAATATATCTTGATGTTTTATCTCCCCTTCGGCGTTTGAGTTTAAGTTTTCAGAACAATATTCATGATCCAGTAAAAGCTGTAAGAAGAGTCCAAGAATTTACATGGACAATGGCCAAGCTGCAAATTCTTCTAGAAAATTCGTTAGACAATTTTCTTGATGATACAAGTGTTATGACCCATTATAAAAGACTGTCTAAAGATATTGAGACAATTGATTCAAAGCAATGTTATCAAAATATTCCACTTTCTCAATATACCGAAGTTAATAGCCATGTTCTTGACCAGTACAAACTAATTATTGCAAATATTACCATATGTATGGAAGGCCGTTTTCAATCTCTCCAAAAACCACCATTGTTTATGCATTTGGTAGCTTTACTTGACGTTTATAACTGGCCGTTAAATGTGAATGACGGTACTTTTGGTGATAAAGCTATCGGTGAAGTTGTTGAACATTTTGAATTTTTCTGAATTTTTAATTGGTGTAGGATGTGATTTGAATAATATACTTCATGAGTGGATCATTTTAAAAGCATACATGTTTCCCATCATAAGTAACAATCAAAATGAGTATTATTTGAAAATTTGGGAAATTGTTTTTTCCAAATCAAGTTTGGTCAAAGAATGCCGAAATATTCTTGATATTTTTGAACTATTTTTAATTTGTCCTTTTACAAATGCGAAGGTAGAACAAATGTTTTCATGTATGAATCGCGTAAAAAATGACTGGAGAAGTTGTCTTAGATGAGATCGTTTAGAATCTCTACTTCGGATAAGCGAAAAAGGACCTGAGATTGACAAATTTGAACCTGATACTGCTATGGACGAATGGTATAATGATAGTTAGATGATTGTCAGCAAATTTTCATTGTTATCTGGAAAAAAGAAAAAGAAAGTCAGGAAAAACAGACATTGATCTAGCGACAGTTACAATATCAGATTTGGAAGAAAGTGAAAGCGAGGAAGAATATTGTGACAATTTTTAATTTTATTTTAATTGAAACCCCTTAAAATTAAAATATCAAATAACAATTTTAAATAGCGTATGATTTTTAGCTTCGTAAAAATACTTTTACGTTAGTAAAAATCCTGAAAAATTCTAAGCATTAAACTAATGAAATTATAACAAAACGATAAAAATATTTACGATTATGTTCTAATACTTTTTCTATTAACAATCAAAAAAAGTATTAGATCGTAAAAGATTCTATTATTTAGACACATTTTTTTCTTTCGCTTTATTTTATTGAATGAAAAAAGTGAACACTAACTTTTATTAAAAAATGCATTGAATGAAAAAGCAATAGATAAAAATATCATCAGAATTTGATAAGGTTACTTAGATAAGAAAACTGACTTAATAAGAATTTAATTATCATTCTTGTTTGTTGCGCAGTTTTTTATCAAAATGTTAAGTTTTAACATTTTATCACAATAATGTTTTCGTCATTTTTAATAGTTTTTTATAACTGTTTCAAAATTAGAGTTTTAAATAATTTTTTTTTACTGTTAAAAATTTATAGAAAATTAAATATTCTAGTTGTTTTAAACAGTTTAAAATATGTAAATAAAATAGAAGATGAAACAATTAATTATAATTATATAATAATTAATTAAAAGAAGGTTAGGAATATCAAGTGCATTGATTTTACAAAAATACAGCCGTTAGATGTAATGCAATATGATAATAGTAATAATGTAAACTATAACTAAAGCTATTTTACAACCGCTAACCGTAAATGTTATGACATCTTATGCAAAAATGAGACTTATTATGTATGTTAATATAAATAAGTTAAAATAAATAATGCCCCTTCCCCCCACGGGGGAGGAGGGGGAAGGAGTTATGAGCAACAAAAAAATTGCGATTAGTTAAAATAAATAATGCCCGCCCCCACGGGGGAGGAGGGGAAAGGAGTTATGAGCAAAAAAAATTGCGATTAGATCTTTTTACGTTAATTCAAGCCCTGATATATATATATATATATATATATATATATATACATATATATATATATATATATATATATATATATATATATATATATATATATATATATATATATATATATATATATTTATATATAATATACATACATAATATGTACACACACTCAGGTCTGCAGATATGCTTATATTATTTTTAATTTACATAATCAGGTTAAGTGTCACTGACATAGTTACAAACTAATCAAAAAATAAATGATTAGTTTGTAACTATATGAGTGTTCTGTTACAAATATTATTGAACTACTTGGAGTCACTATTGGAGATTATAAAACGTTTGCAAACCCAACTTTTTTTGATGACTTCTTTCTTTAAGATAATGAGTTCTTAATGATAAATAAGAATAATAAAATTTCTCATAGAAAAAATTTAAACCACAACATCTACAAAATACCATTCTTCTTTACTTTTTTCTTTAAAACTTGTAGAACTTGTTTGTTATTATCAGGCATGCAAAAATCAAAATATGATGTGCACTGCAATGGTTTGATTATTTGTGGTTTTAGTATTTTTAAGAAGCAGATGAATACATGCTATTAACTAATTTAAAAAATAAGTATTTGGTGAAAAAACTTGTTAATTTCAGTAAGAAAATGGTTGAAAAATATTTGATGAAAATTGCCAAAAAAAAGACTATTTAAATTAAATAAAAAATTCAGATCCTTAAATTTTTTTATTCATGACTTTTGGTATATTTTTCAATTGAACT